TTCAAAGTATTGCTACTAACAAGTTGTTCCACATACTGCTACTGCTGCTGCTGCTGCTCAGCTTTCACTTCGTCATGTTGACTTTGGACATGTGGCATTTTTGATCAAGCTGACTGCGGCCGGCCGACACCCCCGCGACCCCTCAGCCAGCACGCCTGGAAAAGGCATCTACAAGAAACTTCCATATCTTTCAGGCAGGGCATTGCTAGGGTCTTGTACCCAGACCATGAAGACGCTCTGGCACTGGTCGGGTCTAGGAACGAAGACAAACAAAAGACGCGTTGCCTAGCTTTTCTTTTGCCAGGTAGTTGGCTGGACACAGCCAGGAGGGTGATGCCTTTCGGCACATCCCCCAAAACCATTTTCTTGGTTTGCCTTTGGCTCTCGAGCTTTTCGGGGCCAGCTCTCTCACAGGTGACTAGACTGTTACTGGCAAGCCTTGGAGCATATGGCTGAGACTGCGATGGTGCCTCATAACTACCAGAGTAATGAGACTTGAGAACAACTTGAACTTTTCGAACGTAAGATCATATGTGCAAGGAGGTCGAATGTAAGAAGGCGAACCGAGAGGATGCCACAATTGAAGCCAAGCACAGCTCAGGTTAGCCCAGACTCCAGGGTAGGCAGAGAATCCGAGTTTCTCAATGCCTTGTCGGGTGTCTCTGCTATTGCTGGGATTTTTTTCGTATGCCCCAGTATCAAAATCTCTGGTCCTAAAAGAAACAGGGTTGAGGTTTAAAACAACGAATTGATCATCCAAATATAGCCGCAATATACCCCTATATAGTCCTATATAATGCCTATAGTTTGCACAACCCCAATATATATATATACCCGATCATATTATAGAGAGACAAATCCAGGTATCTTCACAGCACTACCGAAGACAGCCGATGGGACCATCCGACCAACGACAGAGTCTTGCCTGGGATAGGTACCCAGACCCCGACAGGGATTAAAGGTTAGATCCCCTAGATCCATACGGGAAATTATATAAGGATTATATAGGGGTTAGAATGGGTCAATATAGGGGATCTAAAACTAGATCCTCGAAGGGGTCTGGGTAGCGCCTTCTTTCCACTGCCCGTAGCTGAAGGTTTAGGGTTCAGGGTCTTCTTCGTAGCGGGTCTTCTTCGTAGCTTCCCTTATCCAAGAACTAGATCACCGGGTGGTCTGTAAGGCTTCAAGGGAAGGCGACTGGCATATGGCACAACTGCATAATCCATCATCGTCCTTGGAAGTTCATGGGACTTAGTCAGTACTTTTTAATTGGGAGAATAGGCCATGGCCTCACAGGGGTTACCCCAAATTTAAGTAGGGTTATAACTTATAAGAAATCTCAAGAACCTCTTAGTCCTTTTAAGGGGATCACCTCAGCCTCCACAGCACCGCCATATACACCTTGAGTCTGTCAGGAATAGCCCTCTTTTTCAGAAGCCCCATCCCTAAACCCTGACTTCTGAAGCTGGTAAACCCTTACTTTGAGCTATGAACCTTTAGTAATTCAAAAACCCTAAACCCAGGCACAGTATGCCCTTCACCGGCTATTTTCCCGCCTCTACGGATGGCAGCTCTATGGGCACATGTCCAGCAACATGACGCAGTGGCACCTCGCACAATGGGTGGTTTGGGGTTCAGGGTTTAGGGTTGAAGACTTGGGATTCAGGGTTCATACCGTTTTGCTGCTGAGCTGCTTTTGAATGTGTTGCCCATTATCTCTGTTGTAAAATCAACCTAATACTGGAAAGGTGTGGCAACCCAATTTGCCAACGGAAATTCAAGCCCTCAACCGCGCACTCTGGATCCGACTCCTCGAATCCCCAACACCGCTCAAACTTGGCATCGCAAATCTGCATGGGCCCTTTGAAATATGATCATTTGTCCTAGAACCCCAACGCTACAGAACCCCCAAATCTCCACAATCCATCTTGACACTCTACATGGTCCATATATGGGTCTTATGAGAAAATGGGAGGTCAGCAATGCAAGTAAAGAGGCATGTTTGACCACTGAAGCGTTGCCCGATACATACCCAAATACACGACCCGAAAACATAGTATATCATATTCCACAATCAGCCACAACATACCTCTGAAACAAGTCCCCAAGACAAACATGTATTTCGGTACCCCCTTCATAAATAACCCAGAACCCAAATTAATACCCCCCCTCCCCTTGATAGGGATTAGAATAGGGATCCTAAGATTCGGGCCCTTAAAAAAAGGAGGGGGTCTATTAATCATGGGTCTACATTAGCCTTCTTCAGCACTTAAGCTTCAGAGTTTCGGGGCTTACGCCTCGAAGTCCTTTGATGCTAATGCAGACGCGTGTAATACCCCTATAAACCCTAGAAAACGTCAACCGTGTGGCTGAGCGCGGTTCGTAGAACTTCATGGGGTCTCCTTTGAGATCTTGGAGTTCAGAATAAGTATACCCCAATTATACTTGGTGTTTAGCGCTTAAGGTTTAAAACCCAAATAGCAACATATTACGGGGTTTAGTGGGCTTGATGCTAGAACATAAGAGCAGTTATATGTGGGTTAGATTTCTTAAAGCCCTGTCTAATCTTCACAACCACTAGCATCCCAGTTTCCATGCCATGTTTAAGTTCTTTTCCATGTGATTCTCCATTCTACTCCTTCGGGCCTCAGACCCATAATTAGGCCGTAATTACCCAATTTACCCTAAACCTGAAACCTTCAACTCTATACATATATATATATTTATTTATGCCCGTCCCTGTAATCCCCACAACCCTAAACCTTGACCTTCAACTATAATATATATATATATATACATATGTCTATCTATTTAAACCCCAGTTAACCCTTGAAACCCCCTAACCCCAAACCCTAAATCCTACATACCCCTATATAACCCCTATATACTTCCTACATTACCCCTATATCCACCCTTCCTGTAATTCCCTTAGCCCTATATACCCTTACATAACCCCTATATAACCCCTGCATCACCCCTACATCCCCCTTTGAAGGTCCCTATAATCCCCTAAACCCTAAATCCCTAAAACCTAAACCCTAAATCCCTAAAACCCTAAAAGCCTAAATCCCTAAAACATTAAACCTTAATCCCAAACCCTAAACCCCAAACCCTGAACCCTAA